TTTACGCTTTTCACATTCACGCGTGCACTTTCCTGTACATTTGCATGCTGTATTTGGATCAGCAACTACTGATCCTAAACCTGGCGAAGAATTACGTTTGACTGCAACCGGAATTCCACTGTTTTTGGGCATTTCCATGAATCGGATCTATTTTTCCCATTTTTCGTTTTGCCATTTCGCATCGTTCATTACAAAATCCCGATGTGCATCTGCAAAACGAACAGATGCTCTCAACATCATCCTCGTCCGGTTCTAAATCGCATTGATATCGATTGCTTGGGCATTGACAGCCATAGCACTGCAAATGTCGTAGTTGCATTGTAATCCAGCCGTGTTCAATTCATTAGGCTTGTATTTTTACGATGGACTGCATGCCGACCTCGGGGTTTTAGATTTTCATCCACATCAATGTTGGGCTCACTTTCTCGCAAATTTTTGGATGAATTGCCGCAATTACAAGAATTACCAGAAGACATTTTACTTTTTTTCTTATAGAGTGATTTTAGATGATAACACTTCTATTTTTATGGCATTAGTTTACAAAGAATTTTATGAGTTTTGACGTTCACAAATGAGATGATTATATTTGACAAGTTATTGCTATATAGAATGGTTTTTGTTTCAGTTGACACTATTCACACCCGATTCACGTACTCGTAGACATTTTTTTCAATAATTAATCTTGAAGACAGTACTGGGTCCATGTTGCTTTACTTTACCATCACTGTTGATTTCTTTGATTGTGACGATGAACAGACTATTAAGTGGCAAATAATCCAGTATTGCAATATTACGCATTCGATTGTAAATTCGCGATTTTAATTTTTTGTTGATAAATATAGCATAACCAATTGTCGATTGTAAATCGGAGGGATCCCATCGTACAATTAAACTGTTCAATCCAAATTTACGTATTTCAGTAATAGCCAGCGTTTGGTTTGTTTTTCGTTTGATAAATTTTTTATTTTTGGTTTTTAAGTCAATTTTTTCTTTAGAAAACATTATTTTTTCATTAAAAACTATAATTTTGATATAACAGAATTATCATATGAAGTAAACTGTCAATGTCAATAATTAACTTTAATTTGTTTTGGTCCTTTTCATTACATAAATAAAACATTCACATTTATGCCATTTTGAATGTTGCTCTTGCTTTTTGAGATGGTCCAGTTTCCGTCATCGCGCAGATGCAAATAAATAAAGTTGATTTGGGCTGAACGAAATCAATGACTGCGGAGTTTCGCACACCGCTATGGATTTTCATTTTCAAATCATTGTTTATGAAAATTTCAAAACCTTGTACAGGTTGTTTTGATGTATAACTCCATTTAACCAAAAGAGTGTTTTCACCTATGCAACGCACGCTTGTGATAGCAAAACTTACATTCACCGAGCTGGGATTCGTAACAGAATATGGTAAATTTTTCAAATCATCAGTAAAGTTGTGTTTGAAGTTGTTTTGCAGTCGATTCATAACTGTTTGCATAACTTGCGGAGGTACATTCGCACATTTTTCTTTGACAGCGCAGACTATATCATTCCCAAAGTTTATCACAGGCAGTATAACTGGACTACTGAATTCAAAATCAGTATTTGTTGAGATATGTTTCGCATTAGTTAATGATTTAACCGGTTTCGTACATTCTTCAAACAAACTCTTCGAATCCAACATGTCCGCCGTGCTGATATCTTTATCCGTCTGAGGAATCTCATTTTGAACAGCTACACTATTCCGTGTTATATGACTAACACTTTGTACATTCATATCATTGCAAGAGACTTCGTTCTGAACACCGGCTTCAGAATACAAAATTTCAGTGATTGTACTTTTAGTAGAATTAAGTGTTTCCGCGTCTCTTGTTGTTCGAAATATTTCTTCTTGACTGGCAGTCGGAGTTCTAACACTTTTGCGTCATTTAGAGAGATGTCCACAAAGGTTACACTCTGATCATATGTCAAACTTGTTTCTGGATAAGGAGTACTCAAATATGTTTTTGCTTCAGCTTCACCAGTTTGATGATTTGGTTTACTAGCGCTGGATATAGCGTTAGAAGAATTTAAGGAAAGTAAATTTTGGCTTACAGCACCCTCATACTCTCCACAACTGCTTGGAGAATTCATATTAATAGCTGAATCTTCATCAAATTCTTTACACACATATTTGATGTCACCCACACTAGGACTTTGACTCAAAACGACGAGTTTCTTGTTTTTACTTTGTGTAGGAGAGTTGGGTTGCTTGCTTTTTGTAGCAAAGGTTGAACAAAATTCAGATATTTTATAATGGTTAATCGGAGTTCTCCTCGTGATGAAAACATTCTCTGAATTCCCGTATTTTAATTTTCTTTTCTTCAGTCGACGATTGGAGAATTTTTTAATTTTATATGTGGATATACTTGATCCACAAGAACTTTTACAATTATTTGGTAGATATTCGAAGTCAGTATTTGTAGAAACTGTTGAAACAACTTTTTCAATATCTTGTGGAGTGTAAACATTTTCTACACTTTTACTTTTTGTTTTATTATTATTGACAAAGCAAATATCACCGGCATAATGTTGTGGTTCAGAGTTATGAAAATCTTCAAATGATATTTCAGTGCAAGTTGAAAAATTGGAAGTCAAAGCATCGTCAGAGTTTTTCGGCATGATGTTATGCAACCAATCATGCTTACTACACAATTTCGACGTGGTAGGTGAACAATACGATACGTCTGTTTGACTTTTGTATAATCTTAAGTTTTGTTTACCTTCTGTGGCGTTTTCTATTTTATTTACACTTTTAATAGTTTTCATCTTGTCGTTGTAAGATTGCATCTTACTTGAACTATTTTTTGCTCGTGTTTGCAATTCATCAAAGTATTTCATTTGTTGTAAAATTGTCATAAGCTCAGCACTTACTTTCGCAATAGATGATTTAATATTATTGTGTTCTGCGCTTTCTTTTATTATAACAACCTTGGAGTCAAGATTTTCGTTATTATCGAGGTCATCTCGTGGCAAACATACACTAACTTCATCTTTATCGAATATTTCGGACGGTTGCTCGGTTTTGTCCGCTTCTGAATCGTTTTTTCTGTTAGATTTTATACTAATTGCAGTTTTGTAGTCAGAAGTAGATGATGTGGTCATGATAAAACATTCTGAGTTTTTTGTTTTGATTGTTTCAAATACAGATTGCAGCGTTTTTGCGATTTCTTTTAAATCGATGACTAATCTGTTTGAATTTTCAATTGTTTCATTGAGTGTTTCAACCTGTTTTATACTCACGTCTGAAACATTTTTATCTTTACTTTCCTCGGTTGGACAACTTTCAGACTCCGAATATAAATCAGTTTTTGGTTTAAACAAAGAAGGTTCTAGAGCAGTCTTATGAAAATTAAACAAATCTTCCAAAATATCAACAAATTCAGTGTTGTTTTCGCGTACTTTCGGAAATTCCTGTAATTTATTCTGTAATGACGTGGTATCCCTGGAAGGTAAAGATTGTGTCCTGAATATTTCGTTGAGATTCTGACGATATTTGTGTATCTTGAGTGTGCTAATCAAATTTTCACAATCTTGTGATAAAACATTGAATATTTCATCGTATTTTTCAACGTTTTAATATACTCTGCGTTTTAAAAACATTCATTTGAGTGCCAATATTGCGCATTTCAAACGCATGTTGTGAATTCGATTTAATTTCGAGCGTATCAACAAAATCGCTTATAATTAAAATGCATTGCAGGTCTTTTTCGGGTTCAATCCTATCTGAAAAATAGTGTCCGTTTAAATGTGTTGAAGAAATCGATGCATTCATTGAGTTTTTAATGGATTTCGGGCTTTCCACTGCGTCTTTAAAACACGTTTGCAATTTTTGTTGTTGACTATGATTTGATTTAATTTTCGCAGGTAACGAATTCAAATTTGTTACTCTACGAGTACTTCGTGTTTGTATCTTTGCGTAGGATTCATTTCCATTTGTTAAATTATCAATCATCTGCATTTTATCTTGCAGCAATTTCAAAGTGTTAGATTTGCTTGGAGTTGAATGAACTGATATATTTTTCGTGGTTGATTTTTGAGTTTTGGACGCTGATGTCTTGACAGTAATATTTGGTAACGGTCCAGATAACTGTGCTGATAGAATATTTGGCGTTACCCGCAGTGGATATTTTTGTAGCACTTTGGTTTTGCTGTTTTCGCGTGATGGTGGCTCCCATTTCTTGCTGGTGGTTACATCTCGAATTCGGTTGCGCGACGCGTTCCATTTATCACAGTCTAAACTGTGAGATGATTGCATGATGAAAATGTTTTATATATAAGTGAATGTTTTAGAATTTGGGTCACATTAACGGTTCCAGTATGAATAACGCAACTCGTGCAATTTAATTTAGTACAACAAAACACAACACAATTAATGAGAGAATTGGCTTTCATTTCAGTGTCATCATTTTGACAACTGAATGTTTCAGATATAAATATAGATATAATACTGTTTTCAATAAAGTTTTTTTGTTTTATTTGACAACTAGCGATCCGTTTCAACTTTGCACGACGTTTGCCAGATATGACTGAAATATGATATGTTTTCTGGACAGAAACAATAAGCAACCGTTTCTGAATTAGCATTTTCAAATTCTTTTATTTCGATCAAATATAGAGTGCTCGCGCTTATCGCACTGCGGCGTTTTTGTTCTCCCGCTTGCACCTCCATGCCGCTTAATATTTTTATTCGAAATCATACGACTTGCCGTGAACATGATTTCTTACCCATGCAATCCAATTGTCTAATCGGCAAGAAATCTTTAGTTTTTCTCTACATTTCTCTACAATAACAAGCACGTATTATGTATAATACTATTTTTGAAAACTACATAAAAATCCATTGTGTAGTTTAAGAAATTTAAGGTTTTAGACCGTTGAGCAACTTACTATGTAATGTAATAATGTAACGATATATTAATGATTTCATTTTATATTATATCTCAGTTTTGAACACAATGCTAGGGTAATAATCAGTTAATAATGATGCGGATGGTCAGCATGTCCGGAATACTTAACATCAGCATTGAAGCCGTTGTGTTTATCAGCGGTGTAATGAACAATCCTGGTCCTGCCATCGGGTTGCTCCAATTTGTACCATCCCTGACGACATCCCCATCGCGTTCCTCTTCGACAGATTTCATATCATGGGTGTGGTGGTCCTCAACGCCATATTTGTATTCATATTTTGGGTGATGCTAAAAATTTTAAGAGATTTAATATGTAATAACACCATATATGTATTTGTCAGTTTTACATGTGGCTCATAATGATCATGATGATCATCGTGGTGATATGAATGCTCTACGTGATTATTGAACGATGCGTAAGATGAAGCGTGATGTTCAGCTACAGCGCACGCGGCCAGGGCAACAAAACAAGAAGTTTGAACATTGTTGCTTTGTTGTATTTAACAAGATTTTTGGGATGTTGATTGACTTATTGGCAAAATTCAACTGATAAATTAACAAGTTTGATACTTCGTATTTATAGTAATTTTTGGCACAACGTATAATTAATTGCATATTGTAATGCGTAAACTGATGTTACATATTTCAAAAACGCATGATTTATGCATAAAATTCAAGGAGTTGAATAATACTACAAAAATAAAAAGTACTGGCTTTCGTTACCTTTAAAGAAACTAACATTGAACGCCCATATTTAGTGAAGTAAATTATGCAACCGTAATAATGCAACAAATTTAAACTATATTTTAAGTTGTAAACCTTCCAAAATTTGGTGTATAATTGAAGGGAGTTTGACAACATATTTTATCCCTTGACGGCCATCGACACAGCAGCTTCGCAATTAAATTTAGCAATTACTCATATTATTCAGTAAATAATTGACTAAAATATTATTCTGAAGTTGTAAAAAAAATAAAGACATTATCCATAGCGGAACATTCTGATTAGCGTTGATATATATAATATAAATTGGCAAATACCTATATAATCATATATGCAATGAAAATAGTAATATATATTTCAAAGAAAATTTGCGTGTCACAGTGTTTGTTTCCATACTCCTCCGAAACGGCTTTACCGATTTTTACCAAATTTTATATGCGTATTCAGTAGGTCTGAGAATCGGCTAACATCTATTTTTCATAAGTGATAAGGGTTGTTCACCCTTAACTTTTTTAAAATTTTTGGACAAATTCTTTTGTTTTTATTTTTTTTATAATGTGGAATTAAAAAATACATACAACCCTAAATTTTTAGTTTTTTATCACCAACCCCTATTTCTTTATAGCCATTTTAATAATTTAATCATTTTTCATCCCGCTCAAAGAAAATTTTTATATGCGTATTCAGTAGGTCTGAGAATCGGTAACTTCATATCTCTAAGTGATAAGGGTTGTTCACCCTTAATTTTTTTTAAATTTTGGTCGAAATTTTTTGTTTTTTTTTAATGTGGCATTAAAATATACATACAACCCTAAATTTTTGGTTTCTTATCATCAACCCCTATTTTTTAAGTTGTAAACCTTCCAAAATTTGGTGTATAATTGAAGGGAGTTTGACAACATATTTTATCCCTTGACGGCCATCGACACAGCAGCTTCGCAATTAAATTTAGCAATTATTCATATTATTCAGTAAACAATTGACTAAAATATTATTCTGAAGTTGTAAAAAAAAATAAAGACATTATCCATAGCGGAATATTCTGATTATGTTGGATATATATAATATAAATTGGCAAATACCTATATAATCATATATGCAAAATTTAAACTATATTTCTGTGCCAAACCAAAATTTATGTATAATTGAAGGGAGCTCTGACAACATATTTTATCCCTGACGGCCATCGACACAGCAGCTCTCAAGCAATTTGAATTTAGGCAATTTATTCATATTATTCATAAAACAATTGACTAAAATATTATTCCGAAGTTGTAAAAATAAAAGACATTATCCCATAGCGAATACAATTGATTATGTTGATTATGATGGATAATTGAGTGAACTCTATAAATACCTATACAACTGTTGCTACGCAAATGAAAACAGTACATACTGGTCAGTAACATTAGCAATACGCAATGCTAACAAAATATACATACGTCACATCAAAATATAAAGTAATCAATGTATATGCCAAACCGGGAACCAAACTAACAATTAAAGCAAGCACAAAATTACTCCTTGTCTCACACCAACTAGCCTATTACCTTCTTTATGAATATTGTGATCCAGAGAGGCCTGAAAAGTGTCAGGTTTATTTATTTTATACCTGCGAATATTAATTTACACCCATACCTGGAGCCGACAATGTCAAGCCCAGGTAGAATCCCAACCTACAAGAAGATGAAAGAGACAGAATATGCCCATGTCACGTCAAACCTGTAAAACAGGAACCGAAACCGAAGACCACAAAATACTTCAAATTCACCACCCGAACCGCGAAAATGCGGAAATTTGAACAAAATTAATTTGTTAATTTATAATATTTTTGATAATGGCCCATTTATTCAAGTCCGCAAAGGTCAACGACGAATTAAACACTTCTAGGATTTGATTTTATACTCGTAAATTCAAATTTGGGTTTGTTTGTTTATTTGTAACGCTATTACATAAAAATTACAAAATCAATTTTGATATTTTTGATCAGAGGAATGCTTGTTTTGTGGCTAAAACATGACATGCGGGTTGGAAAAGTAGGGTTGGAAAATGCTATAGAGACTCAATCATAGTTCTATTTATATCATTTGATTAAAGATAGCTAAATTAAAGCTAAAATATTCTCAATTCTCATTTCTTTTCTATAAAATTAAGAATCATATTGTCGCAGTAGTCATATATAATAGGTCCAAGAAACAAGAAAGCAAACTAATCCTTTTATTTAAATAATCAAGGAAACAAAAAGCAAAAGCAACTTATTTTGATATGTTAACTTGATAGCAGTTAGCAATCACTGATTTACCCAATTTGATTTCCAATCATATCTAATTTTTACATTTCATCAGGTTTATCTTTATCAAATAATAATCCAAAATGAATCAACCATGATATCAATATATTCCATTAATTACCCATATTTACATCTAATTATGTTTTATTTATTGTATTTTAGGATCGTTAAATTGAGAATATTTATACGATAATTTTACTGTTGGAAATAATTTATTAGAAAAAATAAAGCGTGTATGTTATCCTACATTAATTAATGTTTTGTAATTTTTTTGCGAAATTAATAATGATGAGGATGTTCGGCATGACCAGAATATTTGACATCAGCATTGAAGCCATTGTGTTTGTCAGCGGTGTAATGAACAATACGGGTCCTGCCATCGGGTTGTTCCAATTTGTACCATCCCTTGACAACATCTCCGTCGCGTTCCTCTTCGGCTGATTTCATGTCATGAGTGTGGTGATCCTCAACACCATATTTGTATACGTATTTTGGATGCTGCTAAAGAAAGATAACAATAATTTTAATTATATGGAATATAATTATATGCAATAATATGGAAATTGAAAGCTTTACATGTGGTTCGTGATGATCATGATGATCGTCGTGGTGATATGAATGTTCAACATGATTATTGAACGATGCGTAAGAAGAAGCATGATGCTCAGCTACTACGCAGGCCACCAAAGCAACGAATACAAAAAGTTTGAACATTTTTGTGTTTAAATGGAATTAATACGTATCAAATGGATGATCGAATTAAACTGATACTTTGGTGTAGTGCGCCACTCAAATTTATACGATTTTTGGGTGCGTGAAAATTGTTTAGTAATATTTCCATTCTATTTGCTTCTGTAGAAAAGAGTTAATATATAATTTAATATGCATGCGTAATTAATACTATATTTGTTGAAATATATTAGCGAAATTGTTAAATGTAGGTAAATTTGATTCCGTCTCTATTATGCAACAATTGAAGGTGTTGCATGAATTGTATATGTTTTTAATAGAATATTAAGTATCAAGTGACTCCGGGTGTATTTTGTTCCAAGATTAATTAAGAGTGAGCATAGCGAGCTCCAAGTGTTTAACAACGTTTTGCCACGTTATGCTTACGCTATTTCTTCTATTTCCACTCTATTTCCACGTTGAAATTTGTGTGTTTGAACTTTTCTATTTTAAATCGAAATTCTGATAGAGAATTGGCCGTAGATTAAGTGTCTGCGATTCGTTCCTTTCTGTCTCGTTTAGTTTACGAGATATTCGCAAATGTAAAAAAAAATCATGTGTGCAGTTCACACGCGGTAGAATCCGCCGGTATCACCTTCAGAACTCTGCACTGCGAGAGAATCAGACGAAAGTAGTATCAGGAGTGGGATAATTTTAGGGTTTATCTATATATATAAAATTTGCGTGTCACAGTGTTTGTTTCCATACTCCTCCGAAACGGCTTTACCGATTTTTACCAAATTTTATATGCATATTCAGTAGGTCTGAGAATCGGCTAACATCTATTTTTCATACCCCTAAGTGATAAGGGTTGTTCACCCTTAACTTTTTTTTTAATTTTTGGACAAATTCTTTTGTTTTTACATACATACAACCCTAAATTTTTAGTTTTTTATCACCAACCCCTATTTCTTTATAGCCATTTTAGTAATTTAATCATTTTTCATCCCGCTTAAAGAAAATTTTTATATGCGTATTCAGTAGGTGCCCGCAACTTCGAATCGGTAGTGTTTGATAAAAGTGTAATTCGTTTTTACTCTCTTGTTCCAGACATAGTATGTATCAATTCTATCAATAAGATTCGCAATTTTATTTTATAGAAATTAATTATATAAATAATTGCTAATAATGCACTTCAGCGCACCTTCTCGGATTCAACTATTTTACTATACCTATGATTGAATCTCAATGCCAACTTTTATCCTATAGAAAAGAGCAGTTTTTAGGGTTTTCCCGGCAATTTTTCAAAATTTTCTTACCGTAAAAACAATCCTTGGACTCTAACAAACATTTTAAAAATATAATTAGCCCAACTGGTGTAGGCGTTGTTGAGTTATGCGCTTACCAACAGTTTTTGCGATTCATTTTTATATTATCGATGCATAAATGAATTTTCAATAAAACTCTAATATATATAAAAATATCAATAATTTAATACTTTATCTATTGACTAAATTTATTCATTTAAATTACTCCTAACAATGACTACACAAATTAATTGCAATAGATTCACATTCCCTCAATCATCTCCACCCTCGATGCGTTGATTAACGCACGTGCCCAGGTTTGCTGCCTGCCAGAAAGATTTGCGCACTGTAATTCTACAATTTCGAGCGGATATGCCGCTGGATTTACGCGTGGAGCGCATCTCTGCATTCTCTTTCGCCGACACTCGCTCCGTGATGAGAGCAAACAATTAATTGCGATGCGTCTATATGCATAGCTTTACAACTCGCGCGTTTCGCCGAACGCATTCAAGCCGATCATTGCCCGATGCCAAAATAAATACGAGCGGAATTAAATGCACTAACTGAAATCCCGTGCAGATTTTTGATTGTTGCGGTGGTTTGATATTTAATTAGCACATTGTTCCAAACGTCACATATTTAATCATGCATCATTTAAGTGCATTAACGTGTCAATGGTGTTAATAATAGAGTACTCATCAATAGTTCATTTAAAACCATTAACATAATTAAGTTTCGTTTCCGTTTAGATTTTAATGTGTTGGGTGTGTGTTTGACAGATGCCGTCATAAACCACCCAATCGTGCATAAATAATTTCAGCAAAGTTTCATTTGACGGTTGGAAGCTTCGGATCTAATATGCATCACAGGATGCATAGTGAGCGAGTAATTCACCTGATATGCTAATTAGCTCGCAGCGCACTAGCAGGCTCGGCGTACTTAATCATGAATGTTGCAGCAATTCATATTTCTCATTTGCATTTTGCGTCCTCCTTGGCCGGCTGCAAACGGAATAGTCTTTTCAGGCTATTAACGTAGACAACCAGGATTACGCTAAGACCTCACGCATTCACCTTGAGTTTGTATATTTGGTTGCAGACGTTGATGAATTATGTATAGATCAATTTAGTACAACGTATATCTACAGTTCATTCACCGGCCGGGCGTAGAAAGATGAGAGAAAAATGATTTTTTATTCGTGCTTTTGAAAATGTGACGCCTTTGTACTTTATGAGTCATGTGCATATGAATATGAATTCTCATTAGAATTAAATTAACGCGCAGGCATTGAAGCATGCTGAAGTTAACACGCAATAAAAAATTAATGCAAACGGTGCTCTAAGTGCCTCTGCGTATTTTTTTACTTTTACAGCAGTATTCACTGCCTTTCTAAAGGTAAAAAAATTGTAAAATCTTATTATAACCTCAAAAATTTACATAACCTACCATCAATAAATTAGTTCCGATTGTGAGTAACGAGTATTCACCATAAAAATTTAATTCTTTTTGCCCGCAATCGGAATTTGTGATAATTTGAATATAAAATTTCCGCACGATAAAAGTACGCGCGCACATCCGGGGAGGTTGGAATATGTAACGGAAGTGATTTGTGTGAAACGCGCGCGCGCACGCCAGATACGCGACAAATATATATATGTAATAAAAACCGAAATTTCCCAACGACGCATAAATTTCCGCGAGCGCGCGGAACATGAATGCCAGGCAGCTCTCAATCGTCGCAAACATTCAAAAATCCAAAACGCGAACGAATCCACCGCGTGCAAAAACTCCACTACGTGAAAATCAAATTGATCTGATTGTATTGTAACGGGTTGTAACAAGCCGCGCACCGACGAACGCTAAAATAGATAAATCGTTGACGTTGACTCCTGCACACACGGTTTTCGGTTTGCCGGCCATTTTCAAACACGGCAAATTTCGCGTCATTCTATACTTCTGTGTGTTGATGCGGTGCTCGGCGCGCTTGTTTCACGAATTGCACTTGTTTTGTTTGCAGTTTACGGTTTGCTGTTTGCAGTTTGCCGCCCAGCAGGTAGTTTACACCGAAATGAACACACGACCTATACATATATATATGTGTGTGGGTGCGTGGGTGTGTGCATGTTGCGTTCGAGACGTCGAGCTTGATGTATATTGGAATTTTCCGGGCGGAGAAAATGGCAGGATGGCAGCGACGGCCGACATCCGGCGTGTCCGCCCTGCTACTCATCGTCGGACATGCACAGCAATAACGAGGCGAGGCGAAGAATGAGAATGCAGAAAATCTGCGCCCGCTACGATCGATTGAAGCACATCATGCATGACGTAAAATGTAAAGCATCCGCTAAATCAAATTCTTATTTGCGCCACAGTGGCAAGCGCAACAGCGCGTAAATATATGCAACGCAATATACACATCATCCGGGAAAAAAAACTGTGGGTGCACAGCGGGCATTTTTATATATCATGCGGATGGCACCGGATGGGGATGTTTTCGTTTTTCGGCGAAACATAACTTTCATCGACGTCGGACGATTAATGTTAAACGGTGCAACGAAAATCTCGTTTAAAATTCAACGGCGGAAGGCAATTTCCTGCGGGTGCGCGAGGGCAGAGGGCAGGAGAAAAGGGCAGGCAACATGGATAGAGCGCGTTTGATATCCGAGCAGCAGCACCCAAAGAGCTTAAACGCGTTGGTGGCGTTGAGCATCATGACGGTGTACACGGAAAACGCTCCTCCATCAGGTGGCCCCATCACCGTTGTCGAGTGCAGAGCTTAATATTTTAAAATTACAGCTTTCGGTAAGCTGTGCAGCGGTGTGCAGCGCGCCACTATACGGCGATTAGTGATTGAATGGTGAAGGCGCCGGGTGCGCCCTCCAAAAGCTTTAATCTACGCTACAATAACATGCCAATAATTAACATTTGATAAAAAATATATTCTGCAAATTTTAATTTAAATTTTCTTTAACAGATCAATAATTTAATTCTTAAATTTAGCTTATAATGCGATAGAAAACTCGCGATAGAAAACGAAATAATTTATTCCGTTAATTGTCGGCTCTCGGATTAAATCGCCGCCCGGGGAACACAGTTCTGCTCCCATGCGATCGCCCATAACACGACTCGATACGCATAATGACAATGCGCAATTGTTTAATGTCATTAATATCCGATTTGTTTATCGATACCCGGCTTCGCCATAATTCGAGCACGTCCGTCGAGAACAATAATTTATTATTACAAACCATTAAATCACGTTGTGCAAATCCTAAACTAAATTTAGCATTATACTCGTATATAAAACAAATTGTACAATACAAACATATAAATATGCAATTTCTTGTATTGTATACTTTATACTTGACAATTACCTAATTGTTTTATTATAGTAGCATTAATGCGATTAAGTTTTATTATACGCTTTGAGTATTCTGGAAAGTAGTACATTAAAACAATAAGCGTAATGGTTTGCACCGCAATGTCGCGTTTCAAGTAGCTGCATCAGCACACATTATCCAATTCGTGGCATTCACATCCAATTTCGACGGTTGGTTTCAACGATATTAAAGTTTTTTGTGGTGCGATGTATCGCGATGTGATGTCGGGAGACACACACGCCATTGCGAGAGACGAACTCCGGCCAGACGAAAATGATTTAAAGGAGTGGCTTTGCCAGACGCTCCGACAACAGGATATTTTTGTTTAGTTTCTTTGCCTGACATGTACTTTTAAAAA